TGTAACAAAGTGGCACCAGCATCTCCCCTCCTGTGCCACAGTGGTGGTTGTGAGACACTTCCCTTTAGGTGGATCCCAAGGGAAAAAGACAAAGGGGTGATTCGGATCACACAGGCATGAAAGGTAAACAAAGCACCCCTGCTCCAAGCAGGGAGGGTGAGGGTGGACAGTGGCCAACGCAGCCGCCGTTTTTTTTCCAGCCTGGCCAGCTCCAGGCTCAGCGTTGCCCACCAGCATCCTGGCAGAGGTAGAAGTGATGGGTAAGTCCAAGGCAGGTAAAACCTGGATGGGTGAATTCCCAAAGACTTTTTTTTTTTTTGAGGAAGCTGTGAGCGTGTGAAAAGAGATGTTTGTTGGGTTATATAGTTTGCTCCTTCCTCCTATTCCACTGGGAAATCTAGGTAAATGTTAGTAAATGTTAGCCCTGAAAGACCCACTGTGAAAACACTGAGCCACTTATCATGTTGGATTCTGCAGAAACGTGTCTTTATGCTCGGGATCTGTTTCCTTTTGGGGAAAATTTTCACAAGTGCTTGGAGGGCTGCAGGAGCACGACTGCCATTAGATGTCAGGGAGGTTTGCTCTTACATCGGGCGGGCTGGGTCCCCTCGGTCCCAGCCCTGTCATTGTCCTCCACATGCCCAGTGCTGCCTGCTCAGCCTTGAACCTGAGAGAAGGAGCTGGGGACAGGACTGGGATAGGCTGGAGCACCGCAGGGCATTCGCAAGGAAAAAGAACATACACACCCCAATGGGCTGGGCACAGTCCAGGGAGAAAGCAAAGGACAAGACAATATTATTTTTTTTGCATTACTGTGGGTCCTGGGGCAGACAGCAGCTCTCCTGGTACCACCTTGTCTCTGGGGCATGTGGGGTTGCCCCTCTTACAGCCCAGCAGGGGACATTTCCCACCATGAAAGTGGGAGAAGAAGCCACAGATCAGCTCTCTGCTAACTCACTGGGGATTCGACTGAGCATGACGGGGAAAAGCCCACATCTCCCTGGGCTTTGGGGCTGTAGGATCCCACTGCTGACTCAATAGGGACATCTGAACCCTGTAGATGTGACCTATGCTCCAGCATTGGGCTCATGATACGCTGGACTCAGCCGCTCACCCTGGGGCCTTCCCAAGGATTGCTCTTGCCCCCAGCACGGTGGGATGTGCTGGTCCTACCCAAAGGGACCTCTGGCTGCTGAGCATTCCCCTCCCCTGGGCTGGGGACTGAGCTTGGGCAGCATGGGGAGAAGTCACTTCTGACCTGCCCAGGCTCCAGCCGCATCCTGCCATAGGAAAATCAGCTCAGAGCTGGAGATAAAGACGCTGGGAGCTTCTGGCATCTGCTCTTGCACTGCTGCTGCCACTGCTTGGGGCACGTGGGACCCCCACTGTGCCTGGTGGCAGGGGGCCTGAAGAGTCAGGTCCATCCCTAGGGAGACCTGACGCATTCATGACATGAGTAAGGCAGCGGCCGGTCCCTCCCGCCG